GGGGGGCGCGTGCATGCGTGCACGTGTGTGCATGTGTGTGTGTGGATAGGTGTGAGCCACTTGTCACCCGCGGTGGAAGGGGCAGCCGCCAGGACGTCGCGGGGCGGCTGGGCGCTGGCTAGGCGTGGTGCCGGAGGAGGCGAGCTCCCTGCGTTCCCCCCGGCTCCTCCCGCCTCTCTCCACACCCTCTCCGCATGCCTGCCCGCCTCCCTCGCCTGCCCGCCGTCCCCCTCCTGCGCCCCACCGCCCCGCCCTCCCGCCTGCGTGCGCAGGAGCACGCTGGGGCTGGGGGAGGGCGCGGCGCCGGACTATGGCGGCCCCGGCGACGAGGTGCTGCATGCGGCGCTGGAGGAGGCTCAGGAGCGCAACCGCCAGCTGGCCGCAGACAACAGGCGGCTGCAGGTGGAAGTGGTGCGTGCCAGCAGCGGGCTGGGCCGGCTGGCTGGGCAGGGCGGGGTGAGGCCGGGCGTGGAGCGTGCCGCGGCAGCTGCTCTTTTTGGCAGGCGACGTGGCTGGCCGGCTGGGGGCCGGGCCTGCGCCTCCAAGCTGCGCTGTGTAGGCTGGTGACCCGCCCGCCTGCCTGCCTGCCTGCCTGCCTGCCCGCCTGCCTTCTGCCTGCCTGCTCCCCGCAGGACAACGCGCACGAGGAGGTGCGGGAGGCGACCGAGAGGATGATTGTGGCGCAGGCGCAGCGCGACCGCCTGCGCCAGCACCTGCACCAGCTGGACCCCGCCGCGGCGGCGGCGGCGGCGGCGGCGGCAGACGCCATCGCCGGCGGCAGCGGCGAGGCTGGCGGCGGCGGCGGCGGCGACGTCATCCGCCGCCAGCTGGAGCGCATTGCTGAGCTGGAGCGGGACGTGAAACGCCTGAAGCAGGTCTCCAGGTGGGCCTGGCATGGGGAGGGCAGGAGGCTGGCTGTGCAGAGGCGGCCTGTTAGGGGCAACGCGGTGCAGCGGAGTGAGCAGGGAGTGCGCGGCAGGCCGCGGCGCGGCACATCGCCGCTTCCCGCACATCAGCACGCATCAGCGTTGAGCGTTTCGCTGCCGCCGCCCGGCGGCGTCGCCCCCGCCGCAGGCTGTCGGGCGCGTTTGTGGTGAGCAGCCGGCGGCTGTCGATGGCGGCCGCCCCCGGCGACGCCTCCCCCTTCCGCCTGTCCCCGCTGCGGTCTGAGGACGGCGAGGGGGAGGAGGGCGGGGGCAGGGGCGAGCTGGATGAGCTGGAGCTGAACGACGACGAGTTTGCGGCGCAGGAGCAGGCGCACACGTGAGGCGGGCGGGCGGGCAGGCGGCCCAGGGGGGCAGCGCCAGGATGCAGTGCGCCAGGATGCAGCGCACGGGATACCATGCAGCTTGCAGCTTGGCCTGGCCTGGGCTTGGTTTGGCCTGGGCTTGGGATGGATGGGCTGGGGTTCTATTGGGGCGGGCGGGCTGCTGAGCTGGCGCTCCCGCCCCGCCTCCTGCGCCCCGCCCGCCCGCAGCATGCAGACCGCGCGGCTGGCAGGCGAGCTGGCGCGGCTGGAGCGCGCCATGGCCGCCAAGCAGGCCGCCATGCACAGCATGCCAGACCACGCCGCCCTCAAGCACAAGTATGACGAGAGGCTGGTGGAGCTGGCGGCGCAGCGGGACGAGCTGCAGCGCGAGCGGCGAGACCTGCTGGCCAAGCTGGAGGCTCTGGCCCACGCCTCGGGTGGGTGCCGGGCGGCCGCCGCTTGTGCTATTGCTTTTTCTGTTTGCAGTCTGCATATCCGCAAAGGAACTTGCGACACAGACCCCTGCTGCTGGCCCGCGGCTGGCGCGCCACGGCTGGCTGGCGCCGCGGGGCGGGCAGGGGGAGCCGATTCGTTGCCCGCGCGGCCCTGCCCTGCCCTGCCCCGAGTCCCGCCCACATGCCTGCCAGCCTGCGCCTCACGCCGCCTCCCGCACACCCCCTCCCCCCCCGTGTGTGCAGAGGACGAGCGGCTGCGCCTCAAGGCACAGTACGAGAGCCGCATCCGGCAGCTGGATGAAAAGGTCAAGGCGGTCAGGGCCAAGGTGGGGGTGCAGCGCGGCGCGGCGGCGGCTGTGGGCCGTGCCCTCACCATGGGCCTGGTGTGGCTGGGGTGTGGGCTCGCCGTGGGGTCGGCTGGGCCAGCTCTGGAGGCCCTGCCGCCGCGCATGGCTGCTGCCTTGGCAAGCCCAGTCCCGCCATGCTCTCCTGCCCATGCGTGTGGTGTGCGCGCATGCCCTGCAGGAGCGGCGCCTGGCTGAGCTGGAGCGCATGAAGGTGAAGGCGGAGGGGGCGTGCCGCAAGCTGGAGGGAGACATCCTGGCCATCAAGCAGCAGAAGGTGTGTGTGTGTGTGTGGGGGGGGGGGGGGGGAGCACAGGTTGTGTGCTTGTGGGGGTGTGTTGGTGCTTGCAATGGATGTCGGCGAGCGATGCACAGCCTGCTGCCGCCCCTTGCTGCTTGCCTGCCGCTGGGGCGTGTCCTTGCTGCCGCTCTCGCCATGCCACAAACGCCATCCATCCATCCTTTCACCCCTTTCCTCCTCCTTCCCTGCGCGTGTGCTGTGCTGCGCGCAGGTCAACCTGCAGCGCCAGATGGACAGGGGGGTGCGCGAGTTTGCGGAGTTCAGGCGGCAGCGGGACCACGAGCTGCTGCAGCTGAAGAAGCAGGGGCGCCACAACGCGGCCCAGCTGCAGCGCCTGGAGGCGCTGCACAGCAAGCAGCAGGCGGTGCTGAGGCGCAAGACGGGTGGGGGGCGCGCGCCTGGGCTGGCTGAACGTGGCCGTGCCGCCTGGCTGGGCCCCATTTGCTGGTTCGCTTGTGAGCGAGACCGTCGGCGCACCGCCCGCACTCGCAGTGCGTACTGCCTGGCCTGCCTCACCGCTCCCGCCCCTGCCCCGCTGTGCCTGGGTGCAGAGGAGGCGGAGGCAGCGCGCAAGCGGCTGAAGCAGATGGAGGACCGCCAGAAGCTG